TGTGGCATCGAAGGAGTGGTCTCTTGGGTTCTATGGCAGCATCATATTGCGATGCTGATGTAATTCGGATGGACCAATTTTTCGAATGAGGAGATGAACATTTCATGAATCATCTTGACCGGCAAAATCAACTCTAAAGTGATCTTCATATCTTCGAAACCAAATATCAAAAGTCGCGTTAGCATCAAGATCATAATGGAATTCTGTGACACTCCAAGAAGAGGTCGAGTAGCTCCACAGCGACTCATGGCTGGTGCTCATTCAGCTGGTATACAGACTAGGTCAATACCACCAACTAATACCTCAAAATGCAGTAAAGTCAGCTCCATGCCGAATCATTTTTACTGCCACCATGATCACGAACTTGACTTAATCTCACACTTCCCTACTGGACGTCTCACCTCTGGTTACCACACAACCATTAGCAACACTTTTTTATTCTTATAATCTTATTTGCTCCTTCTCTTCCCTCCGATCTTATTATCTCACCCTACTTATTAAGGTTCTCCTTGTCACTATTATCTTACCCTACGTCCAGAGTGATATTTAAACCTACAAACTCACTCTGAAGTAAGCTTTGTATGTTAAAAGATCTCATTGATCCAGTTAGGCAGAACGAATTAGTTTACCAAATCCTTTGCAACGACTGAGAGGTCAAATACATAGATCAAAGTAGTCAACCAAGGTCAATTAGGCTGTCCGGGCACAAAAACCTAGCTCGGTCAAAATCAGTAGCTTGTAGTAAAGCGAGAAACTTAGAAGTAAGCTCGGGCATAGCTATGCCTGCGATTTCACACAACCACACAATAAGAAAGGACAGGGTAAAAATCATTAAAACTAACACAGCAGAGTGGAGGGAGAGGTAGATCAAAAAAATCTTTGTTTATCAAACCAACACCTAATACATGAGACAGGAAAGATTCAGCACCTATAATATGTAGAAAATCGAAATACCCATATCACAAAGGGGGTGAAGAAATTAGGGCTACATAAGAAATATCTCGGGATGCGGAGACAGATAGTTCGACCTTTATTCAAGTTAAATGCTAGTTTGTTATTCACCCACTCTACAAACAATCTGAGATCTCTTTATAGTGCACTTGGTTCTGTTCTGGATGTCACAGCGCGCTTCATAGCTTAATCATTAGCGTTAAGTAGCATCGGGGAGCTGAGACTCAGTGGGAGGTCATTCAAAAGAAGAAGGAACAGCAACGGACTCGGAATCGCTTCTTGTCATACACCAGATGATGATGTCTCCCAAATCTAGCAAACCCTGTTGGCTTTTTTGTAAAGCTTTTTGCCATCTTAAATAGTCCCGCGGCCACGAGAGCATCTAAACACTGATGCCCAAACGTGCTATTTTGGGTATGAGAATGGCGTGTGAGGTTGTGTCACAGGCCTTGGCGTTTTCAGGAGAATCACATGAACACGGACCCGGAGGTCTCAGGATGGTGTCCAGTTTTATCACCGACTGACAGGAGGTTTGGGGCGTAGCGCCTGCCTTTTTGGAAACCTTGTTGGGCATTACTTATTGCTCCCCCTTTTGTCTAAATTCTGTCTGACATGGTCGTCTACTGGGCTCTCCATTACTTTCGACAGCACTAGTAAAAGTGCCATAGGTCGGTAGCATTTCAGGTTCTGTCCGTCTCATCCTTTGAAGGTGATACACAGAATTGCACGTTTCCATTCTCATGTAAGCATGTGTTTGTCTGAGCAGTGACGAAACAGATTACGGATAGGAGCACGTTGTATGAACACAGATGGCTGAACGTAATCGGATCCCGGTAATTATCTTGCGTGAAGCTTTGACAGCTTTTCGAGGACCATGGCAGAAGTCACCTTTATTCCATGCAACTCTTACATTAAGTAGCGCTAAAGATTGCCTAGGCAGTTGACAGTTTTGGTTTAATAGAGGAATGTTCAGCTGTGTCGAAGGTGGCGCCAAAAGTTTCAGCAATCTCCAGTCCAAAAAGTTCTCTCCTTTCAGACCTATCATAACGCACGCTCCTTGACTGGTATATTTTCTCTGTCCCATGAATCGACATGGGTTTTGGGGATTCGCTCCAAGCTCCTGGGCAAGGTGTCTGAAACGGCCTCCTGTCACTCTACTTTGATGTTACATTGATTCCTTAGAGCCATACATAGGCTATGATATGATTCTTTTCTGAAGACTATCTAGGTCATGCTTTCCCCTTTACTTTCAAAAGGCGTTCAGTGCCTCGTTTCAGCCATAAAGTTTACTTCTTTGTTATCATTGTGACTATTAGGACGTCTGTAGAGATAGCCTTCTCAATGATACTCCTCAATAATTACCAGTGTTGGTCAATCAGTAAGATGCTCCACTCACGAGGCTATGGTGCTGTCGACAGATATTGGTTCATCGCCAAGTACTTTGCTTTGCTGTAGCAAAGACTAGAAGCGAGACCCCTTTCATGTTAGTTGTTCACTGATTATTAGATCAAACACTACCATACTGTGATGGCTGCTGCCGAGAGGGATTTGAGCCCGAACGTTTCCTGCTATCAGATGGTAGTTAGTGAGAAGACTACCCAGTGTGAATGCATTTCAACCCAATCTCCAGCCAGAGTCATCGCCAATATTTTCATGCAGCCCATCTCTTTTGATGGTGTTGAGTAAGCTCTGGTTCAACGTCCGGCTTGAAGTTGCCCATTCCTGCCCATGGTTGAGAGTTGGGGCATTAAAATCCCCCAGCTATGATGACCTGATTATACCCCTTAGTCGTCACTGTGGATATTACTTGCAGCAGTTTTCGATTTTGTTCCACGTTGCTAGTAAGGGCTCCATAGACCCCTCCTCCCAACCAGGTACGTAGTTTGTAACAACAAACGTTCCCGCTGATGTTATCCCTAACCGCGTACCACATTTCATGTATAAATAAAATGATCGTGATCGGCCACCTTGTGTACATCTCTGCAGTAGGCTATGAGCCACACCCTACTGTGTGACGGCTAGTGAAACTACCTAGCTGCCCAAACCTAGCTAGGCGGGGCGGGGTTTGAACCCGTGACCTACTGGTTGATAATCATCCCTCTAAATCGCTGAGCCACAGCTTCATCCCGTCCCATATTGGTGGTACCTTTGTTGCTGCGGGCATCCGAAGTTAATAGCCATCAATTTATTAGGATTTCAAATGCAGATTAAGGAAACAGCATTATTTTCCAAATTAGTTCTTTTCAAACTAAAAAGTAAGCGTCTGTTAAACCATTCCCAAGGTTGACATTACATCGTCACTATTTCGCTGTGTATTGACGATGCACATGAATTGCCTTTCTCGTGTTTCTGGAATTTTCTCGCGCAAATTCAGTTCAGCAGTCAATCTAAGTCAGTTGTGGATGGATTCTGGTTACGTGATATAATCTTATCCTTCGTCTGGTGCATGAATCCTACTGTGAATTCGCTACCGTCGTGACTAATCTGGTTGTAGCTAATATGCATAAACTAGAGCTGTTTGTTCTAATCCTGTAACGGTTGTTCATATATTGGAACATTCACATTCTTCCTGTTGCACGAAGTTTCATTTCCTTAGTGTGCCTTAGTTTCGCTGTGATGATACGTACTCGTCCGCGTACTCACTACACTGAAGCTAGGCGATTGGAAGTACGGTGTATAATTTCGCTTCCCTTACCTCACAGACTTTAGTAAACTCTCGTACATTTGTATCACTCACTTTTTGGACAGTTTGGTGAGGATGTTACCAACAAAATTAGGGACCAAGTCAAAAGTTCTCCTCTACTGTTGTTCTGGGTTGAACCCGTTTTTCGAAGCTGCACAATTATCATGAAGGCGCACGACCTCCTGTCTACACCTACAATTCTTGTTTTTATCCATAGCTATTCCCTTTTTTAACGTCTTCCATTCATTTGCCTCTTGTAAACTAGGTGTAAACCGTAGAAGTTCTTGGTCTCAATAAATACATCTTGGAATTATTTCACGGTTTATTTTCGACAGATGCCATACTGTGGATAATAAAAATGGTGTAGTAGATGCTTTATACCGTACCTATGTGGAAGTGACCATATCAACTTAGAGATGGTGTAGTTGATGGGTGGCTTCCAAAATGCCACAGTTAAGAACATTGCATCCATCACCTGTGACGTATCTAAGGTATCTTGTAAAGAGTCAGTATTGCCGATGAATTAGGAAATCATTTTGATCAGAAACTTGCTAGCAGGCAGAGACATAACACTTACACCCCCACAAGCTTTTTGCTAAATGTATCCTAAAGTTAAGTCCTAGTGAAGTAATATGTCTGAGCATATAATGCTGATGTGGTCGGAAGTGTTTTCCCACAAAATCTATTTGTGAGAGGTCTATCATTCACAGAAGTGGAGAATTCAAGCAGGTTTCAGGTATTTCATACACTGTTGTCCTTGTAGTATCGTTTATGACTTGTGGAAATATCCAGTAGGGAATGCAAAACTTAGGACCTACAGCATTAGACAAGGTTACTTTATGAAATTATGAATCTTCACCAAATGAGGTAGCTGGGTTATGTAATGCGCATACAAAATCAATATTCACACTAACACATAGTTGCCAAAGTAGCAGTCATACCAAGATTTAGTACCAACTAATGAAGTTTTCGTCTAGTGATATGACTTGAAACAGCAGTGTCACATAAAACTATTCCCTCATCCTCCTATTGTATTAGTCTTTTGCCTTTTTAAACCTTCTACTCTAACAGACTTTTCATATTCCGCACCTGCTTCGTGGTAAGTACTAGTTTACTGCCGAAAATTTGGTTTCAATGCAAAGAGGAATCATCAGTACGAACTGTGAAAAACTACTATGTCAAGTGAAACCAAAAGTCGAGTATTCTCTGATTTAAATTGCTTCATATTCAGAGATACAGTTCACTGAATTGGGTAGTTAACTTCCAGCCAGCGGGTTCCGAGTGCGAATCTCCTCCAAAAATACTCGTCGCTCATAGCCTAATATAGTAATTTGTAGGCGGCTGTAGAATTTCATTCCCAAGCACATTACTTGTTGACCAAGTGTATTTTAGAAGTTAATTTACAATTTGCTGAAATACCTTCACAATTCAATGATATGACAGTATTTACAACAGCTAACACCTCATTTATAAAGTTAATCAACCAATGAAGCAGCAACACAAATTTATGAGGACGATAATCTCTTCTGGAAAAAAATATATTAACACAATTCAACTTCTAAAAAAAAGAGGAGAGAAAAAAGCATCGAAGAAAGACACTCATGAAAGTTCTCTCAACACTCAGATACCTTTCTTCATTGTCAACAATAACACGATTTGTGTAAACGCTGAGAAGGAGGATTACAAAACATTCGCGTACATACATAATAAGTATACAGATACAAACATACAAAATATCATGTTAAGCAAACACCATTTCAATTGACGCTCGAGTCACAATAACAACGAAACATACACACGGAGAGAGAGAGAGAGAGAAATGTAGAAGCTAAATCACAGGCCTAATGTAAATGGAGATGTTTGAGATTGACAAAACATTGACAACGATTTCATGAGAAGCTGACAAATAGGGGTATAGATATATAAAATACTGTACATTATTATCATTACTGCTGTCATTCGTATCATCCTTTATACTTTTTTTGTTCAATGTTTCAATTTATGCATGGAGAAAAGAGGGAAATATGAATGTGATTGAAATTTAGTATAAGGATTCAGAAGGATCTTTATACTTATGATATTTTTCGAAATGAATCAGTTTCTCTGGGACCATAAAAAAATTATGAATGATAGTCAACAAACACAATCAAAATTTACTGAGAATCAATTCACTATGAATACAGAAAATGATTAACTTACTTAGTTCTACGGAAATTATCACACATGGAACAACATTTACACTTACTATATAGACGTTACGATTCATGTACACAAAACCTAAGCCATATATTGAAGAGAATGAAGAGTTTATGAAGAAAAAGAAAAGAAAACTGGAGAAAGAGAGAGAATCAAGCCTGTTATTATTCAAAGCATGTGTTGCATAAATCAACATTGAATTTATGATAACTACGCTTTTTAAATTCTGCTTTATTATTTGTTTATCAAGAGTATACACATTTTCAACACAAATGGTGGGAAATGATGGATCAAATGGAAAGTCCAGTTACAATGTCTAAAATGTTACAGAATAGATGAGGGAGTACAGATACATGACCAGAAAAGATGTAAACCATAACCACCGGGGAGAATTGTTTACCAGAATTAAGAGAATTCAGTCTCTAATGGAAAAAAAACATAAACAGTAGGTAATGAAGGAAGTTGTAATCACCTCTAATTTCGATTGATGGAAGACAAACAATGAGTAAAACAGTAGGATGAGGAGAGAGAGAATGAATTCTCAAAGAATAAAGATTGGAATTTTACATTTTAGTTGGAATAATAATTACGCATCAAACTCAAAGGTTTATTATTTCAAGAACGTATGGAAAGCAGCTTAACTGATAACTACTTTTCGAATATAGGATATCAAAGAACTTTGTACAAGAAAACACAAGTGTTTTGTCTGTATTTTATCTGTTATGTCATATGTATGAAATTGAATCCCCTGTTCACATAGAAATAAGGCAAAAAATATTTATAATATCTGTAACTTTTCTCCATTCCATACTTTGAATTACTGGTACCTTTCCACATACACGCACATAGACACACACTTATACGCATGCGGAAAAGTATGTCATATGCATACGGAGTAAAAAGACATAGAAGGACCAGAATTTGTGCTCTCATCCACTGTATAACCACCGCCAGCAGAAGCAGACCCATTTGTTGTGGCTGCTGCACCTACTGGACTACCACGAGAGGAGAAATTTGGTCCATTTGTTGTTGTTGTTATCGTCAGTGATGGAAGTGGTGGTGGTGGTGTTGTCTCAGAGGTTTGTGTAACTCTCGGTGGAGGTGGAAATGGAGGATAGATAAGCTGTTGATTTGATGAAGGGAAATACGATCGGGCAAGTTGTTCATCATTATAATGATTAGTCAATGTTGTTGAAGTATTCATAACAGGAAGGAAACAATTGTTTTTCAATGTGCCATTTGTAATTTCCTTTATATTCACCATTCGATTATTAGTATTATTATTGTTATTATTTACAGTTCTTGGCCATGATGTTTCTGAGTTACTTAAACATAGTTCTGTAAGTGGTGTTTGAGGTTCAGAATGTATCATTGTTGTCTCGGGATTATTAAGTGATGATTGCCATGTATTGTCATCAGATCGTTTACTGAGCTAAATCAAGTATGAAAAGAAGGATGAAAACTTTCTAAGAATAATAATAAACATCATAATTACAACTAAGACATGAAATAATTTAATCAAATTTACTACTTCCGACTTTAAATTGCACATTACATGTTGATGTTAATGATCAGCAGATTTCACGTGTAAATGGAAGCGAAAAGCACTCAGCAACCACTCTTATATGAAATAGGCAATGAGTCATACTTATTATGTGAGGGCTGATGATACTACCTAGCTGCCCATACTTCGGCAGTTATAGAGGGATTTGAACTAGTGACCTGTCGGCCAAAAGTCAAGCATCCCGTATCACATAAATGACGAGTTATATCACTGCTGAATGAGAATAGACCTCTTTGGTATGTGTTCGACAATCCTGGTAGACAATCGTCTCTCTGTTCTTCCAACATACTTTCTACTGCATGTACTTGCGAATTGATAAATACAATCGAAGTTAACAAGAGTTAAGGCCTTGTCTACCAGGATTTCCCAGGAAATGCTTAAGAGTCTACCTCTCAGAGATAAATCCCTAATCAGTAGTGATGCAATAGCTCGTCATGTGTGTGATAATGATGACATCAAGTAGATCCGATGAAATCCTTCATAGAAAGTCAAGTGCCTAGGCCAATGAGGCACAGCTCCACACTCATGTAGTAGATTAAAAGACTTGTAGTACAGTTTGTATATTTACTTCCAAGAGATTTGATGAATGTGTTCATCCAAAAGATGTCTTAATCAGATTAAATAACTCCTGACTATCTCTAGGTACGCCTTTAATGATTATTTATTTTACAGCAAATTGTGCTGTAAATTGTTTTCAATTTATGACAATTGCTAAACGACTTGAACCTTCCATTTCATGATAATAAATGAAACAGCAATAGTGGTGAATAATTGAGGACGTTCTTCAAAAATCGGCTAACATCAGTATCATTATCATCATACGAGGATGTGGTACAGTAGTCAACTGATCAAAATTACCGCAATTCAGATAAACGATAAGTAAAACTGAACAAAAATGACAAGAAACGAGACGGTGGGTAAGAAGAAGAATAAGAACAATGGAATAGTCAGAAGATGAGAAGTCCTGTTTGACGTCAGTTTCATGCTTATTTACACTTATCAGCACAGGATATCAGCTACCTTCAGGAAACACATGTTCTTTTAGAAATCAAAGTCTGCACAAGCTAGTACGGAAGTCAAAGGATTTACTACTAAGATATTCAGGTCACTTGATTGATAGTCTTCGATTGGTACTTAGGATATATAAACATAGGCGTTGGTTATCGCCCGGTGGTTGATTGGTAGGACGGTCAATATTTGGAATCTGATACAGAGTTAGTATATCTTCCCCAACAACACTAATTGTCTTCAATATCTTCAGGTTCAAACCAGAATAACTTATTATTCTAGGGATACAAGACTACTAAATTTATTTCGCATCCAATCCAAATAATCTAAGATTTAGTGATTCACACTCTTGAGACAGAACAGCATTGACAGGGAGACAAATTCAATATAGAACCTCGCACTTAAGCTTCAGAAGACATCAAAAGAGTGAACATATTTGCATCAGTGTAACCAATTTTCAGCTGTTTCAGCAAAAGTGCTCAGCCACTGATCTCTGTTCTTTTTCAGGACCTTAGACAGGTAGTCTACACCTTACTACACGCCTCAAAAGAACAAACTCGAGGTTTACTCAACTGCAAAAATTACTATAAACAAAGATGGAATCTTGAAATAGAAGGCTAAGCAGCACATACAACTCGTGTCCCAACCGTGTAGATCGTTACAGATTTAGAAATTTTTCAAGTGATTTACTTCTTACTTGAGAGCTTACGCTTAACCCTGATATCATTCATTTTGTGACTACACAAAAGGAGATATTTTCTCATTATATATCAACACTTACTGTTAATGTTTCACAAATATTGACTTAAAAAATGTCCGTGAGAACACTACTCTTAAACTAGACAATGCTTACAGTGAAGATGATCATTACTTTACTCCTCCATTAAGTATTTCTTCCTGAGGAAGTCTCATATTCATTTTTTTTCTATAGTTGTCCTCTGAATCCCCTTTATTTAATGAATTGATCGCCAATAGGTCTTAGGAAAGGTGACTGAAGTGTGATCTCTCTACCGGTATTACCATAATGGATATCTCTTACCATCAGCTATCTAGTGAAGTTGGGTCGTTTCGAAGTAAGTTTACTTTTGAGACAGGATAGCTCTTTAATGTCTGATTAACTAGTGAAATTGTACTACGTAGTCTATCCACTTCATTTTTAACCGTCAGATCGTGAGTCTGAATCTCAAACCATTTATTATGTGTGTTCTAGTAGCCGGAGGCTATTACCAGCCTCAATACAATGGAGTTTACTTCACCGTTCTTCTTTAACAGTGGCCTAGAGAATAACGTTTTAGCGTTTGAACTAATGAGTACTGAGTGTTAGTGGGAACAACATCACTCACTGATGTCCAGGTACATTCAACTGACGAGTCCCAAACAGGACGAAAGGTGAGTCCTGAATCCCACTGCTAGTCACCAGGTAGACAATAATAATAATAATAATCACTTTGTCCCTAAAAGTTTTGGTACGACTTGGAATTTTCAGGATGTAATTTTGCAATAAAACTATATATATTACTTGACAAAATTTTGAATATTGTAAATATAGTTAAAATTATGTAAAGAATATTAACAACATTCTTAGTTAAGTTATTGAAAAGAATGATTATTTATTGTTGCATGGTTGATAAGAGAGTTCTGTTCTAACAATTTTTTTCGTCACACAATATGCGTGCTAGGTAAGGCACAACTGAATTCAGCTGTGTGAGTATACAGTCTTATGTAATTTCGTTTTGTCCTCCTTGATGAGATACAAGGGGAGAGCTGTGAATGAAGCGGATGCTCAGTGTCAGCTAAGATTACTGTTGCTAGTTGCTTGCTGCTAGAATTTGAATATCTGTCAACTACAATGTTAATCAGTTGAGATAGAGGCACAGCGCTTACTTTGTTAAAGTAATGATACACGTATAACAAGGAAATCCCGCTACTCATCGTTGGGATTTTATTCAGTCAATTTAGTTAGACCAGATATACTTCCAATTTAATGGGAAGATGAAAAGAACTTCCATGAAATCATCGATATGCAGAGTAATTGCAGAAGCAATGATGAAGAGACTGGAAGCCGTCATTTTACCAGTGATCAAACCAAAAATTTGGACCCATTGTGTGAACGATACTTTTCCCATTATTAATAAAGATGATTTAGAAAACACTTACAGTTTGATCAACAACGTTTTCGATGATATCGAATTCACAATGAAAAAGGAGTCGAACAACCAATTAACATTTCTGGATGTTTTAGTTAGTAGAATAAATGCCGGAAAACTGAAAACTCAAGTGTACAGGAACGGAACTCACACCGACCAAATCCTCAACTACAGTAGCAACAACCCGATAACGCACAAAATTAATTGCATAAAAAGACTCGATTCAAAAGAGCCAAAACCCACGGTAGTACAACAACAACACGGAGAAACGAAGGAAATTACTTGAAATTACTGTACATAAAGACTATTTCAGAAATCACGACAAGGTTACTGAGACCACTTGGAATTGGTGTGGCTCATAAACCAATAAATTCCCTCCAAACCCTATTATGCAAACCAAAGGACATAACAACAAGGAAGACACCGAATATCATTTCAGAAGTCAACTACAATAATTCTGATCAACACTACATTGGACAAAGTGGTCACCTTCTTCACCTCCGTTTACATGAGTACCAACTAGCTATTAAACGTCATGACACTTCACCACTCATTTCAATGCATGTGGATAATTATGGACATGAATTCAATGTTGACAATGTAGAAATTTTGGACAAAAGAAATATAAAGAATACCAGAGAATTCCCAGAGGCTTGGTATTCAAATAAGTCAGCAATCAATAGATGCATAAACACAGACCCAATCTATCAACTAGTGGGAAGAATGATAAACAAAAAAAGGTCAGAGATCAATCAGGGGAACAGTCAATAAGAAAATCTACCCAGCCAATGACACAACAATCAAGGAAAACAACCAATCACAAACCAGTTCGTCAAGAGAAGCTCTGGAATCACTCACAGAAAAATACTGACAGCTCACTTCATACTGAAGTTAGTGCTGATAATGTCGTCTAGAAAGACAATGAAAGCTCGCTGATTAAACCACAACCAGGACAAACCAGATATCTATAACGAGGTATTTCAACCGAGATGTCTGAACAGCTGGTTTCTAACACTGAGTCAGTTTAAAGACAAAACACAATCATAAGTTCAACAGGAAGCTAAAATCTATAAGTTATGCAAAGTGGGGAACTATGCCCGAACTAAATCCACATTCGGTTGATGATCCCTCTAGGAGTCTCCTGAGTCTGCTGTCCAGATGACTGTGAGTATATACCACTATAGTGGTGATGCCAACTTACTTGATAATCAACTGGTTGTTGTTGATGATGTATTTGTAAATTGGATTGGATTGGTAAAGTCATTCCAGCTGCTTGATAGATATTGTATGGGTCTGCGCCAACTGTAGATATAAACCCATTATTATTACTATTATTGTTCAACTGTTGAAATTGATTAGTGGTGAAAGATATACGATTCATCATATTATTTGCACCGCCAGCACCTCCTCCTATTTGTGAACGTGGAAGAAATAAAAATCCTGCAGGAGTTTGTTGATGCAAAGTTGATTGAAACTGTCCACTACTACCATTGTTGATAATATTGCCAGTGGTAACAGGAATTGTATTCGGTGAAATATGTGTTGTGTGCAGTTCATAAGTGGGTCCAGGAATTGGTAGTGAAGCAGGCCCATTGTAATTCGTATTCAGTGTAGTCGGTAAACCGTGGATTGGATGATTACCAAGTCGTGAAACAATAGGACGATAATAATTTGATGCGATATTATTGTCTCCACAGTTAATAGATGCACCGTCTGAAAGATCAGATGGTGGTGGTGTAAAGCCAAATATAGACGCACTAGCATATTCGGGACCTATATAACATAAAATAAAATGTAAAAAAACGTTTGAAACCTTTAGTTTCCTAGTAAAAACCTATGATTTATAACTTTTAGTTGATAGATATACGCACTAACCACATATCAATACAGAGTTTTTCTACAGACCAATATTATGTAGTATCCTTTCTCTTTTTTCTTTCATTTGAATCAGTCTGATAAGTTCATTTTTAGAAGAAACATAAATGGATCACTACTCGATAGAGTACAGAGACGAAGATCTCGTTGCTACTGACTTTAACAAAGTAGTGTCTTCGTTCTTGAACTTTATTCACTATCTTCATATTGCATAACTATAAACGAAGTTGACCTGGCTTAGATACTAAACTTCTAATCAACATGTTATGGATTACAATTCTGAACGAACTACGAAAGTTTAAATAACCATTTAGTATCAACAGTAGTCATGGTTCATAGCCTAACAGAGGAGTTAGATAAATAACAATAAATCTCTTACATTCTCATATACACCTGACAATACTTTCATTTAATAAAAAAAAACTACTCTGATAAGTGAAAAGTTTCCTGAAATGTCAGCTGTCTTCTCCATACATGGATACCTCCAAGAAGTATATCATCACTTCTAGCCTTTTCCCTTTCACTTTGAGTATTCAATAATCTTATCCATAATTTCGTCTCGAATAAAACACGATTGACTCAAATTAAAAGTCTAAAACTATAGGGACTACATTTACTGTTGTTTGGTGGTTAACAGTCCTACTATCATTCATAGATGGAAACTTGTATAAAAGTAGGTTGGTTTTCTGTTTGCTAAGGTCAGATACTTCAGTAAGATGTAAAATTACACGATGTACAATTCAATATTGTTTATGTAGCTCATCAAATAATTAGTCCATGAAATATCATCTGATATACCAGTGCTTAAGTGTAGTGTCCAGTACTTCTCAGGTTGATGTAAAGATATACTTAAGGACTTATCATTCCTATCTTATGTGTAATATACATGAAAAAGCGATCAAAATACACTCACAAACTTCGTGCAGTTGGAAATGACCCATATATATCGTATGAAGGTTAATGGTGCTAACTAGCTGTCGGAAGCTCGATAGGTGGGGCAGGGTTCGAACCCATGACCCACTGGTTGAAAGTCGTGTCTACGTCAATGAGACAGCTGCACCTTCTCCTATATACTACTACGAACCGGTTGCCGACAATACGAAAAGCTATTTCCCCTTGACAGACTTAAAAGATAATGCGGATTGTCATTGACAGTCTGAGTGCCTCAAATTTATAACAACGGCAGTTAATAAGATCATGAACATATCGTCCTTCAGGAAATACCTGATTTCGTCCAGTTTCTTTAAAAAATTCACGATCCTTAGTGCTAGCAGGGGACTATGGAAGTGCATTATTTTAAAGTCAACCCTTTTTAACTTTTCAATCAGACAGTGGAAAGGTAGGGTAGTTGGGGATGTTTTTCAGCTGTGTTAAACCCCCAGAGGGGTTGCACTTCAGTACAGTCCGGTGTATGATTTCATTCTCAAACCTATAATTATTGAATAATTTTTGTACTTTAGTTTATTTGCTCTCTAAAAGTGATTTTCTTGGTACAATATAACGTCAAGCAATGTATGTTTCCGGTCAGTGTAGGTTCACTAGGTTATCAAAATACATAAACTCAGTTTAGTGTCAAGGTAGGAACCAAGACTGGGTTTCTACTTTTCTTCTATTACTTTAGACAGTAGTAACATTACTAGGGAAAAAAATAATTAAACTGCAAAGCCATAATGTCTGCTTATCTTGAAGCTTTTAAACGAAGAAGAATTAAGAATATTCACATGTTTGTCAACCCTTTTACTTTCACTTTGCTTTAAAGACTGGAATTTTACTAAGCTTAGGACAAAACCCAAAGCAAATGTTTCATTTGTAAAATGGTAATAAAAGTAGTATTTCAGGTTGATATTTGTTACGGACTGACATCAGTTGAAGAAACATTGGAAACCTGAGAGCACTGAACAGTAAAGTGTTGGCCATGGAACCTGAAGGTCCTAGATTCAATCGATTCCTGGAAGGGTCATGGGGTGAGTACTGGTGAGTAGCCCCATACTAGGACGAAACAACTGCTTAGTGCTCCTAGGTTTCCAACGTTTCTCCAACTCATATCGGTCCACGATGAATACCAACCTGAAATCAATAAACAAATCCTCACAAACCTCCAGATTGAAAATCAGTACTTTTAGAAAAACAATTTGCAGTAGACAGTTAGTCAAATAGGAATACACAAAAACAAGTGGGTGGTAGTGTACGCAATGGCTGTGTTGAAGGTTTAAAGGAAAATACACTTGCTTCGGTTTGAACAGTTGAGTAGTATCATTGATCTTGACAATATGTGTATGTGTGTATACGTATGGCTTATACCCCAGTGAACATAAACTTGAGAATGGTTAGTGAGACCCACGAAATTAATGTTGACGACAAGAAGTTACAAACATCTAAGGAAAGTAAATATTTTTGGAAGTTGTATTCTGCATTTCTGAATCAACAAAACTCAGTATCGAAAAAAGAATCTAGGAGATCTTAAATACCACTTGCAGCAAGTACTGTGTGATGAACGACTAGAGAATATAAAATGACAGAGTGAATTGAGCCATTTCAAGTCGCTGTACTTTCTAACACTATAGAAAAGGGAAGTAAGCAGAAATACAAAGATATTAAAGCAAGTAAACGCTGGATAATAGGTGAGAGAATAAATAAGAAATGTTAGCAAAGTGTTCGAAATTTCGAGGACGATAAAGATTGTATACACATTCATTACCGTGATTGATTTTAAGGCATATCAGAAAGACTTTCAAATGATAGCATCGTCACACCACGAATACCCCCCCAACCAGGATGGCAACATCTGCCGATCCAACTCAAATCCAAAATGTGACCTGGTCACTCTTAGCTTTTGTCAATCTATTCCTATAACGGTTAACAGATTATGTTGAGGTAGTCGGTGAAATAGCAACAACAACAACAACCATAGTACCGATTTTCATTCAATTCAATGGATCAGTCAAGTGTACGGGAAAATTGTTATAAGTTGAATTCCATCTCACCTAACAACCACATTCCCCTTCTTCGTATAATGTTCTGCACACCATTCTGTCCTATTGTACGGCTGTGATATATGGCCATCAAAAGTGAAAGACAAGAAGAGATTAAAGGATTTTGATAACACATGTCTTCGCAGCATAGCTGACGCTTGGTGGAATCAACGTGTGAGCAATATTGAGGTCATGTGGAGAGTAATAGGCAAGACAACCAAGTTGATTGGTGGGGTTGTGAAGCTTAGTCGTCTGAGATGGCTTGGATATGCGTTATGCATGTCAAGTCCATGCTAGACGGGGAAGTTGGATTAGACTGGAAGAGGGTTCAGGCTGACTGGACCAACAAGTGGTACCAGTTGATGAAGTCCCTAACTGATTGTCTGAGCCATATGAGGAGATGTAGACTGCGTGCCTGGGGTCGCCGACACGAAAAGAATGGATGATTGAGGATTCTTGGTGACATGGCTAAAAATTGGTCACAATGGCGCATATGTATTGACTCCTTGATGTCTTCTAAAGCTTGGATATTCGCCCTAACCTTTGTCTCAGAATTGTTTATTCTTTTACATCACTTTGTCCACTTTTATGTCACTCCCTTTCTATCCACCTGTTCTTTTTGTACTACTATGAAGTGTGGCGACTTGAGCCAATGCTATTGTGTGCGAGGCGCTACGTTGATTTAATTAGTCAGTTAGTCTTCATCAGTGAACAACGCCAGTGGGTATAACCAAAACAGTATAAACAATGTAAGAAATGCAATAGCTGTGTATCGCTTCAAGTTGCTACATTCCACAACAATTTAACGCAGCGTGATCAAATGAAAGTTTTTTAGATCAAGATCCATCTTTTTTATTGTTTCTAAACACGCTGATCTAAAATTAGGAAATGGTTAAAAATACTACTCACTGAAATCAAGCAGTATATGGTTACTAGACAAGATAAAAATCTTCAGTCCACTTTATGAAAGGATCATGAGTAAATAGTGATGATGACAGCTTCGTCAATGAAACCACCTTCTGAAGGGTATAATTTATCCCTAATTAATTAGTTACTTTTAGTTTCTCAGCGAGTGTTTGCACATGTGAAACTCTGTGCACCTCATGAACAACTGTTCTCAAAGATTATAACTTCATGTTCAAAGTGTGATTATCCAAATTATGAAATATGATAGTCAAATTCCTTGCGATCAGCGTCCTATTATGTCTTATTAATGAGAACTTTCTGGAGAGAATGGTGTTCGTTAGAGTTTTCTTTATGGCTTTTTTTCAAATAGACGAAGGTGTATGTCTCAATATGGTTTATTACCACCTTCATGGTGTCACTTCTTGTGTAGTAGAAGGGTTTTTTTAATGCCTTCAACTGGTGATGTATCATGCCTGTTCCTTTATCACTAACTGCTACTCCTTCTCCTCCTTCCAAGAGTGATACAAATGCCTGTGATATGCTAAAAACAAGAATTCGATAAGGTAGGCACTACAAATACTATATAAACATACACATACACAGAGGCATATACTCAGGTTTACAAGTATGTTAAGATAGGCTATTTGCTGAAAACGTCATTTCACTTACATACGCGTGCAGATTACTATCTTTAAAATACGTAAAATATCTTGTTTTACTGTGATGTTCACGGTCTTGCAGTTGAATTTATCCGCCTCTTCAACGTCATAAACAAGTTAAAAGAAATAGATGGATGATTAGTAAAGATAAGTTATCCTCATTCAACAGACCATAGTAGTATAAACACACATTTTGGCTTTGCTCAATCATAAGTTATTAGAAATTGAGAGCGTAAGAGAGAGACAGACAGACACACACACACACACAGAGACAGAGAACAGGGACGACAAAAAGCAGGATTTCGAAACGGTTAATTACTATAATTACTGTATAAAAAGCTCATCGAATTCAGTGTTCCCAGATGTGTCCGCTTAAGGATGCACTTATTTACAATGACTGGTCCCTATAGAGCAACCAATATCTTGTTGTCTAGTCATGAGTACTGACCGAGTCCTATCAATCATTTTGCAATGTGACCACACCAAGCTAGTAGGCTTTCTTTCCTGATACACTTTGATGGATGTTAGCTGGTTTGAGGCGAGCGCTAGGAAGCTCTGTAGCACTTCGGTTTTGTGCTTTTTGGCACTCATCAGAAAAAGGAACTCATACCCTTCTCTGGGACTCGAACCCGGGTCATCTAGTATTGTAGTCAGAGATGCTACCACCGAACCGTTCGGCTAGAAATTGACCTTATTTATTTGTCTGTCGATCAAATCTACTTTCTGGTCTGACGTCAAAGATATCACAGACACATTTACTAGGAGGAGCAAAGGAAAGAGAATATCGAGTATACCTGGGATCAAGATAGATATACAGAGAGAGACAAAGAGAATGAGAAAGGCTAGTGGAGCGACGTAAACGAAGAACGAAGAAATTTTATGCCAAGTTAGTGATCAGCTGTCAAGTGATGAATAAATAACTGTATATTTTAATTTATCGATAGGAATTCTGTGTCAATTTTAAATCCGGCAGTATACAATTTCATGAATAAAACCTATTAAAGTATTGCATTATTCCACGATGAGAAAAGACAAATAAAACGTTTGGTTCACAGCTTACCTAGATGCATCTTTTTACCCCGATCTGATGAGCGACATTTCTGGCTTTTATATGGTCTCTTTTCAACAGTAAAATACCCCATACACTAGTATTGCACTGAGTACTCAACATTCAGTCATTATTTTTAGTCGAACCATTATTTTCCGTAATTCTACAAGACGACATACTCTAATGCTTGTAAGAGTGCTGAAACTGCTTTGTATAATCGAATTTGAGCATGCGAAAAGACTAACAACATGAAATATACCTAATATTTGATTCTACAAGTATTTTTCATGATAGACTGGCATCAGTATGAAGAGCACTGGACAGATGTTTCACTATCGTTTAGGACTTCTCAGCGGCGGGAACCCAAAGACCCATGCGGGAGCTAACCTAGGACGACTGAGTCTTGTGTCGGGTATGTTATCGAAACGCTCTGGAATCAGTCACCTCCCAACAATCAATAATTGAATTACTGTCTAGTGCTGATTAGTGATGGATGGATTTCCTGAGGTTGCAATGCGAAGCTATAACCAGTTGAGTCAAACGAACAAGGTGTGGAGGAAAATACTTGCCGATGACGTTGATTGAAGATTGCGCTATATCACGAGGAAAGAAAATGTAGACTAGTGCATAGAAACATGCTCCTCATGAAAAGTTGTGATATCATATAACCGCCTGAGACAAACTGATCCAACTGAAATCCGCACAAATTTCTCAATGAGTGTACCTATAGTGTTAAGAGGACAAATCATTCCCGCAGACCAACTCATGATAAATTAATTTTCTTTCAAGTGATTTGAGCTCTTGTCTATGGGCACGTAGCACAATACCAGCCAATGACAACAAAGTAAGCACATTCAACAGACAAATTAATCAGATCTTCGAAGAAGTTGGTTGCTAAAATATTTTGTAAGTCAAACTACTTATAAGTAATTCAAAACTTTCCACAAAATTTTTCCAAGTCGGCTGTAGGCTTCCTGTCATATCACGTATTCAATTGGTTAAAAAAACACTTAATTCGTTTTCTCCTTAAGAAACAAAAATGTCTGTGTTCAATTATTCTGATCACCATTGTCAGTTTCTTAGCAGGTGTGTACTAAGAAGAAGAAGTGAAGAGAAAATTCTTTTGATGTTAGAACGGAAGAAGTGTTCAATTCAGTTTCGAAAGTCATACTTCTAATCAATCACATTTCAAATGTCATTCAATTCCATACAACATTTAAAACATGTATAGACTATTCATTAACATTAATCTGTATATTAGCATCTTGTGTTAAGTCAGTGAATCGCATCTCAGCGAAATAATGCTTTTCATTATGCAAAAAAGACGGAACCTACCGTATGGTATCAATAAAAATGACTTTTTTGTAGGTGATTGTATCAACTGTAATGGAATAAAGTTTTGACGAGAAATTGAAGGTCTCCTCGTAAACTCAGGGTGTAACATATTTAACTTGTCCATTTCTTCACTATTATCTGGTAACGAGCGTACAGAATGTCTACGATGATTATTTCTATTATGTCTTAAGAAAAAAGATGATATCTGTTGTGATAAAGGACGTCTCGTTTTCTGATTTACTGAATGATTTGCATTGCCCTTCATCAATGATTTGTGCGAATGCTGTCCGTTAACATCTTGTCTTCTCAGCAGAGTAGGCTGTTCTTGTAGATCGTTATTATGAATGTTTTTTGATCTCTCACTGAAATCCCTTCAACAGTGCACAAAAATGGGATGTAACTGTCATTGTCAGTTTGCTGCTGTTGCGGTGGCTGTTGGCGAGGAGAAATAGGAACAGCATTTCTTAACTCCTTCAAGTGATTTTCATCATTGAAATTCATACTAACATTCACTTGTTTATGCCCCATATTGACATAACTACGTTTTTTGTCACATGGGTTCAAAACATTTAGCGAACTAGGTGACTTATTAGTCGGCTTCGCATCAACTGAATTCATTTGTATGTGAGATACACGATCACCATCATCCTTATCTTCAAAATGCTGTAATACAGCTGGATTTCCAACAGCCTTTTGAGTAGTACAATCATAACTTTCTTTTTCTTGATTATTAAACATAATTGGACTGTAACAACCATCAGCTGGCTCTGAATTGGTACCACTAGCTCCGGAATAATTGGTAGTACTGTTCAACAGACTATTGTGTATACTTGTATACAGACTTCCGCTATCTTGAGTTCGACTGTCATCAACAGTACTATAATTATTCCCTCGAATCTGTGATTCCAAAGTTGATGACATCATTGGTTGTATAAGATAACCACCATTTGTTGTTGTTGATGACAAGACAATGAAACTAGGCGAGAAATTTTCTAACAATAATGATATTGGTAAACATATTTGTTCGTGGTTGTCAATCAAGTCGAGATGAAATTAGTCGTTTGTAGACACATTCATCAATAAAATAAAAGTATTTTGCGTATGTACATATGTGTGAATAAAGTTTACAAGTGCGTGAGCACGATGACGATATTCCATTGTAAAACAGGATAAATATGCAAAGAAAAGAAAGCAAAGATAATACCATGTTACATTCTCAGCAATATTGTTTCTCTTTGTGCAATGTAATGTATGTATTATCCAATGTGTTTAATGAACATAAAAGTAAGGAAACAGTAAGAAATCGAGTGTAGAAAACGTTGAAAACACGAACAACCTTTAAGAAGTTGATTTCTGGATCCAAAAGTCACTTCAAGTAAACTTGACAGTAGGTATATGACTGATATCTATTCTTCTCAATATAGGCAATAAAACTTAATCGAATTGCCAGAAAATATCAATGTCTTAGCCTCGGTAAACTAAAATCTCATTCTGTAAACAATCAACTATGTCCACAAATGAACGGTTCAAACATAAAATGGTTCTCTAGCATTAAGTGACTCTCAATAGCTCCGCTCAGCAAGATAACACCAGTTCATAACGAAAAGTGTCGTCAAAAACCGTTAATTCAATTTGATTCCCATAAAATTCAATTTAAAAAAACTTGGCTGCACTATTATTTACCCTTACAATATTAGGAAACTTTTAAAAGACGCTTTCACAATCCAGATTCTCCAGTCATCACGCTCAGCTAACATTTATTACGCTTGCATTTGTTTAAGTAGTATATCTTATATGACGACAGAAATCAGAATTATGGACCTCGATTGACGACGTGAAGACGATTATCATACTTTCTGTTGTCGAAAGACTGTTTCATATAGCATAGTGTTTATCTGGAGAGATTATGCTACGAAATTTCAGTCTTCCTACGACGGTTAGGGTAGAAGAGATCCGAAGTTTATAGCCGTTAAGAAGCATCAGAGATAGTTTGGGACCATGTTGTGAAGGCATAGACTAAGGTGACAATCACCACTAGCATTCTAGTTCTTTAGAGATGTTTTGAGAGGTAAAGATCAATAACTGTGTGTGTGAGAGACAGAAAGAGAGGAGTGTAGAAGAAACGCGAAACTTTGAAAAGAAGCAACTCAACAACAAAGTACAGCTCTTATTTATCAAGTTTCGGGTTCCTAAACGATACATTCTAACTGCCAAAAATAGAAGCAAATTGAGTTGACTCCCCCCCCCACCCCCCTCTTTTGAATAAATCCCCCAAGAAATTTAAAAAAAGTAGACGGTACTCCAAAAAAACCCCATTAAATCAGAAGGAAAACCAATTCACTTTTATGAACTTACTCATTCCACTCAAACTGTTCAAGTCACTTCCAACAAATGTAGTAGGCAATCGATTGGGATTGGCTTGTATATACATACTTGTCGGTGCGACAATTTGATCATTGTTGACATTTGTACTACCAACACTTCCACACATTGTAGTTTGAGGTATACGAGGTAACATTAGACCACCACCAGTAGGCGGTAAAGGTGGAGGTATAGATGATGCATAGTCCAACTTACCAGCTATAGCAAAACCACTGCATGTTGCACTACCAAATCGAGCATTACTGTTGTTCATAATCACTGAATTATTATCTGTAACTGAGGTATTGTTGTTGTTATTATTATTACTGTTATTCATAGTATATTGTAATATACTGTTTGGATGATGTACAACACTACCGGCACCAGTGGCGGCACCAGTGGCAGCACCATTCGGCAAGCAATTATGTACAAAATTGTCTGTTGTTCTTGCATTTGGGGATAGTGTAGGCAGAGACTGTAAGAGTTTTGCAGCTTCTGGGATATTCATTGTATTCACAACATTATAATTCATTAAATTATTCACCCCACTGTTAGTATTACTACTATTGCCACAAGGACTAATTAATGAAATCGGTGAATAAAAACCACCGGATGGATTGGATGATGAAATCCCTGTTGTCTCGACTGCCAATTGTTTACAACATTGGTGTTTAAAGTGTAAATAATGCCGACATCTTCTTTGTACAATAATTATTAAAGCAAGCAGAATAAACAAAGATAATACACCGCCTAGCACATAAGACACTATGACAATAATTTGAGGTAATTGTGTTGATGGCGGTGGTGCTGATGTTGATTTAGAGGAAGAGGACTCATAGTAATTTTCTTTTCTAATCAAGGTTTCTCCAGCTGAACGCATTTCATGATTTGATGAAGATGACTTCTCATTACCGGTTGGTGACTGGTTTCCTGAACTCCCCGCTTTATTCACTGAAAGATAAATAATACCGAAATATGAACAATTAATATACAGCAGAATGCTAAGTGGTTCAATGATCAATAAAAGAGATACGGTGACCTTGGAAGATGCATCAGACTAGTCAATTGTTATTTATCAGTTATAATAAAAATCCATGAAATTTCAAAATTTCACCATCAATACACTTAAAATAGGCTAGTCATCTACGTTAATAATCCATTGCTGCCTGGAGTTTTGTCATTAAAATACGAAAATAATAAAATGTAGTTAAATTACTAAGTCGGTTCGTCTCACAAGTACATCAATGACTCGAATAAATAGACATAATGTATGGAAAACAGTACTGGTTCAATTTTTAGCCAAAAGTCACAATGAAACAACTAGATGTAGTAACCGAACTGTGTCATTCCCTCATGATTTCATTTGGAAAATAAAATATTCCAATCAAAAATTGTTACCTGCTTGACACTAAGAAAATCAGTTGCTTATTATGAGCGCTTTGCAGATAAACAGATAAAATCAACATAGAACCTCGCACACAAGCGCAATGGTTCAACTTGCAAAACTTCACAATAGTATACAAAAAATAATTGGATTTAAAAAAAGACTGATAACAAAGTAAGGTGTACAAAGTTGTGGGAGACAATAAACAGTTTGAAGATAAAGGTTAGTGAGAATATCCAAGCTTTAAAAGAGGTCAAGGAGTCAATACATCTGCACCATTGTGACCGATTTTCGGCCATGTCACCAAGATTCCTAAAGCACTAGTTCCTATCGTCTCGGGAGTCCCAGCCAGGCAGTCTACGCCTTCCTAAACGGCTCAGACCAACAGTCAGGGACTTTATGAACTGGTTATACGTCTTAGTCTGGTCACCCTGAACCCTCTTACCGCATATCAGTCGAGTAATTTCCAACTACTCATTTCAACTAGTGATTATATGTTGTACAGGTATAATGCATTGTCAACTACCCCATCGCCTTTAAATTACCATTAAAATGGATTAATTGTACTGAAAACTACTGTAATATCCTCTGTTTTCAACCTATGTAGTATGTTTTCTTACTGATCGATATCTCTTTCTCTACCTAGGATTTGAATGATGAGTGAGTGAGTGAGTGAGTGAGTGAAAAGTAGCTGGGAAATTGACGAAAAATAATCAGTATTACTACTCCTTCTCTCTTTCCGATTAACGCCAGAAGTTTTGACCATTTTCGTGTACATGAATTGATACTGATACGTTAATTGTCTTAAATGTCGAAAAGTGGAATCAAAAGCCACTCAGAAACCGTGTGGACGTTCTCACAGTGAGTCACATCTATTGTGTGAGTCAATGATACTACCCGGGGGTCAAAACCTTGGTAGGTGAAGGTGGATTTGGACCAGTGACTCATCGGTAAAAAGTCAAGTATCTAGATCAACAAGCTATACTAATCAACTAATTATTACACCTCTAGAATGGGTGGGTGGAACAATCAGGTACAATATTACCCAACAATCAATTCGTACTTACTTCCCGGCGCTTATCGTATCTAAAACACAATGGATGAGTAGTAATAAATACAAAAGACAGTCTTATTCCACTTAATTTCGGACATTGATGAGACCTAAGAGATGCATTCTTTCTTACCTCAGATGTCCAAATGAGAGTGAGATCTAGTAAGTAATTTACCACCTCAAACGTCAAGGTGTTATCTACCATGTTGTTAGGTTGCTACACACACTTCTTGTGCAGTACACATTAAGTCATTAGAAGGGATTTTTACCAGCACCGAAAAATTGTTATTAAAAACGACTAGCTTTTCCGCATACAGTTGCATGTGGCAATATTTTCTGTTTTGAATAGATATCATTCTTAAAAAATAAAACATGTACGTGGTGATTATTACACTTAAAAAAGGTCTGAGATGCTACCGGACCCAGGCCATCCCTCCCCCAAGCTATCCTTCCCAGAACCATATGAGTCGAGGTATGAAACTTGAATGCTGACTACATCTCAAGCTCACTGAAGTCATCGAGTACTATGCTCGGTCTGTCACGCGAATGACGGACTCCGCGGTTCAGTGGTAACGTGCTCGCCGTGGGACTAAGAGGTTCAGAGTTAGATCTCTGAAGTGCTCACTGCTGGGGAGTTGCACACTAAAACGAGACAGGTGTCCACTGCTTCCAGATTTCCAATGGTTCTCCAAACTGGTTTCAACCTATGAGGAACACCAACTTGAGACAAGCGACTATTTGAAGTAAGTATCATGTCCTCACTCATCAGATTTAATTGGATGAAATGAGGGGATTACTTATCAGGCTGAGATAATATTGGTATATAGATGGAGCTTTGTATGCCCTACAGTGGTGAGTGAGGATTGCCAACAAAGGCCAATCTCAGACAACTTGTTTATCAACGATCAAATTTCATTTCTACATGAGCCTAAAATCAAAAAACATGCCTTCTAAACTACTCAAGATGCAAGTGAGTAATAACTAAATTTAATCACCGTCATGTTAAATACCGGTTGATTTAAGCATTTTAATTTTTCTGTCAGCTTTTTTCAAGAGCTTTTAGCTATTTCTTTCTTAAGTATGATTACTTCACTACTTTATGAAAAAAACTAGTCTACAAAATAAATGAAAATAAATGTTTTCTACAAATATGTACATATACATGTGCATGTTTTTTCATGCAACAACACGTGTAAATGGCCTCTTAAAAGAAAACATTTGTTACCTATAAAAGCAGAAGAAATAGATTAAACATGTTAAATAAGATAACATATACACACCTACACCAGCGAACATATTTTCCATGTCATTACCAATCTTCTTGTCTTTGTTCCACACTCAGAGGACAAAGGCTTAAACTGTTAAACAATAGAGTCTATGATCCAATAAACTCATACCGGTATGTCTACACGCGCGTACACATGAACACATATGGGGGAGTTTTTATATCTTATAGGCTAAACGAAACCAAATGGTTGGCATCGATTTCCCAATCTATCTACCTGTTTACCATATCTACGCATATCTCGTTACTAAAATGGAAAAGAACGGTAGGTGATAAGATTATGAGGGAGCGGTGAATGAGTAACCACCACCATTACCAACACTGACAATGCATTGAGTCACCACAAACAAAAACAAAATATCACAGTGCCTCGAAAACAAATATGCAACACACCAAGACACGCATTCAAAACGAAATCTCATAGTTAATACAGGGATACAAAGTAGGATGACAGTAAAACGGGAGACAGCAAGAATGGAGGAGAAAAAACAAGCAACGAAAATTCCTAATTGTGACATGCCTTCCTTCAGTTTCTACAATAATCATGAGCAGTAACATATTAACGTGATTACTCATGTTTCGTTAGTAGACTGTCACTTCAGTGAAATATGCTCAATGTTTTCCAACAAAGCATAGAAGAATTGCTGTAAAATAAGTCAATAGAAATATATCACCACAACAGCGTGAAGCAGAAACCGATTGATGCATTATTCGTGATAAATTTCAAGCTACTTATAAGTAGCGTAAGGCTGTGGACGAAAATAATTTGCTGACCTCGTAAAATAACTTTATTCGTGTTAGAATTCATTATTAAAATTATTAAAAGTGACAGTTATTGAAGTGATAATTGATGGTTTCAGCATCCATTAGAACCAAAATGTTCAAAGTGTGATACTTTACTGAAACAGATGGACATTTTAGAAACCGTAATGGTTACAATGCATCATAATAAATTTGGAAGCCATTGGCTAACAAGATTGATGATTTCTGTTCGCTATTATCTATGAATGAAAACTTGTTACGTTGTTCTAAGCACCCATTCTGATGCCTACAACAGAACATTTCCGTATGAAGGGTGTTAAAAGTCAAACGTACATCAACTCTGAAGATGTGTTCACCAGAAGTCAGCTTTCAGACAGAGATGTCTTTAATATAACAATTTATTTGGGTATGGCTAGCAGAGGAATCCATACGCCTATTTCGTCTGATTTGGGACTCGTCAGCTGGATGCGCCTACACCCCAAGTGAGTGACGCTGTTCTCATTGAGACTTGAAACTCGTACCCATCACTTCAAACACAGAAGAGCTATCCACTAGGCCAATGAGGCATGATGGCCACCTCTTGTGTAACGGGTTTTAGTTATTACTATTTGCTGATATACTTGTAATTCTTCGTTGTTTTACTGGATCGAGTTGTTTGACCTCTTTTAGCATATGGACTCCTATGTGGATACCTCAATATTGGCTGAATATTTATTATGCTAATTTGTTTGTCTTCAATATTTTCAAAATTATTTACAATCGCAAGTAATAATTCACCAGTAGAAACATCGATAACAAGCAGAGTGAAAATGTCACACCATTTAGATGTTAACTGTATGTAATTCCACTTCAGTTGATTTACCAGAAGTATCATCACACAGAGGGAGCAGTATTACTTGCTGGATTAAGCTTCAAAAATAATTCATATTAGGGTAACTCTACAACTGTGAGATATGGTTTATATAATTTTTATTCTCTCACCTTTTTTATGAGATAAGGTTAGTTGAATTTTTCAAATATTTGGAACAGGTGGTGGAATCATCATTCTCCTGTTGCGAGGTCAAATACATAGGTCAAAATAGTTGACCAAGTTGTTCAGTTAGACTGTTTGAGGACAAGAATTTAGCTAAATCAAGACTCCTAGATCCTGGTAACATAAGAAATCTGGACAAAAGCCTCAGCTATAGCTATGAATTCTACTACAAACAACTATACAATTGGATAAAACGGAGTGACAATCCTCAAGAATAACTTAGTTAGATGGAGGTGGAGATTGATAACCGAATCTTTATTTCTCGAACCAATACCAAATACATACAATAGGAATGACTAAGCATGTATTCAAGTTATAAGAAATATTTTACTACCCATATCAAAAAGTAAGATAGAACTATATATAAACCATATCTCAAAAGTGTTCAGTTGTCTTGGTATTGACGACGGACAATAAATTTTGTCCAAAATGTAAT